AAACTGTTTATTCCCTTTCTGCTGGTTCCTTCTAATGTCCATGATGTTAACTCTAAGCCCTCCCCACTGAAATGACAAATGTGTCTAGCTTGTTCCTTTCTCTCCCTCCTGCCTCTGATGCTCAGAAATAGTGCTGTTACCATAAGGAAAGGGAAGAAGTCATTGCCACACTTGTGGGGCTGAATTTCCTCAGATTGTTTCTAGCATCTGGATTGGAACTCAAATTTTTCACTGAAATGGTAGTCAATAATTGAGTCTTACAAACATTTCTCAAAGGAAAGCATCACCAAGCAATCACCTGCATCAGAATCACCAAGAGCGCCTGGTAAGCAGGTTCATGGACCACACTTCAGACCTACTGAATCAAATTCTCTATAGTGGTGTCCCCAAATCCACTATCTTAAGAAGATAAATTTAAAACCCGGTGTTACCATTCCTTCCCGGAATTTAAGATTTGTTGCATCCTGCAGAAGGAATGTTCTATGGATTATCCTGGGAACTTGTGTAGCGTAACTAATTTAAGGTTAGGGGCTTTGTCACTTAAAATCCCCTACTGCCTTAGCGGAGGTTGGTTCCTGGTAGCTGGATGATTCTTTGCTGAGCAAAGTGATGGATATGAGAATATTACTTTTGGAGATAGAAGTTGATGTTCTATTTAATTATCCTTGTTACACAGGGAATATACAACGTAAGGGGTGAGCAGGAATGGAGGGAAAGGAAGACAATTTAAGAAAGGAAATACCAGAAGGAAAGCTAGGTGGCTGGTCTCTGTGCTATTGGGGATGGCAGAGCATGATTGCCTGAAGGAATGGCCAGAGAGACCTGGGGGGAGGGACAGGTGCGAAAGGAACATTTCAAAGGAAATGCTGCAGGTAAGGGCATGAATAATCTCTTTGACTCCAGCAATATTCAGGAAAAATATAAAACCCCTAAGATGCTTGGAGCCATGAGCTCTCTTGAGAAAGCTGAGGATGGCGTGGGTTGCCTCCAGGTTATCACAGGTCAGAGCAGAGTCCACCCACGTATGTCAGAAGGCGGCTGTATTTCCTGTGGAGTAACGGGTATGTAGAACCTGCAAAGCTATTTGACACATCCCCTGACCCTCCCAGGTCTTCAGCCTGTGTTGTCTGGTACTATTTAGGGGTTGGGGGAGGAGGCAATGGCCTGGGCTGGAAGGTATTAGGGGATCAAGATGAAAAGAGCTAGACAAAAACTAGGAGGCAAGATTCTGGTGGGAAGAAGGGGGGAGGCGGAAGTTGTGGCAGGTCAAAGGAGACAACTTGGAGTTCAAGAGGATTTCATACTCAGTAAATTAGTCACGTCTCTATTTAGTCTCGGCTTCTGCATAGGAGGACAACCGTGGGAGTGAAAGAGGGAGCTACTGGTAGTTCACCAAGAAAACAGGTATCACCTGGGTCCGTCTGGCACGAGGGAGCCTGGCTGTATTCTTTGCCCACTTTTGCAGGACTGCTCATGTCTGGCTGTCCTCCTTGTCCTCAAGGACTGTTTCTTCTCAGTGCTCAGTCTTTTATCCCTTGAATTCTCCTTAAAATATCATGGCCTTTAGCATTCTGTCATGTTCTCTGTTTCTTCTCTCTGTGCTCTCCCCTCTTTTTTCATATCCAGCTAGTTCACAGTCCTACCTCTTTATTATCTCTTTATCCTCTTATGTCCATTTCTGCTGTAGATTAAGGACCTGCTTATCACCCTCCCAGATTCCTACAACAGCCTCTGAAGAAGTGCCTTGGTCTCCAGTCCCGTCCCCGTTTCAGACCTGCTGGACGCAACCTGCTTGATACGTGAATAATTCTAATCATGTTGCTCTGCCTCTCACAGCTGCTCTGAAGCTCTTCATCCGTTTCTTTTGTTTGTAATTTTTTTAATGTCTATTTATTATTGAGAGACAGAGACAGAGCACAAGCATGGGAGGGGCAGAGAGAGAGGGAGACACAGAATCTGAAACAGGCTCCAGGCTCCAAGCTGTCAGCACAGAGCCCCACGCGGGGCTCGAACCCACAGACCGTGAGATCATGACTTATGCCGAAGTCGGACACTCAACCAACTGAGCCACCAGGGCGCCCTGTCCCCATCCATTTCAAGTAAAGATCGAACAACTTCACGTGGCCTAAAATACTCTTCAAAAGCCCCTCCTCAAACCTCTTCAACGGCAATTGAAGTCTTCTTCTCCCTAAATGCTGGCTTTCTATGTCTGCCTCCTATTTTCTCCACCTCTGGGCCTTCGCACATGTTTTCTCTCTGGTTATAGCACCCCCGCCTCCTGCACCACCCCATATTCACCCGGCTAGCTCCTCATCAACCTCATGTTTTTGGCAGACCTGTAGGAGATTCTGAAAACCGTTTTAAGTTCTAATGCTGTGAGATTCTTGTTGCAATATTCATGAGACACTATTCCCACATCATAACCTAACTACTGATTGCTTACGGACATTAAATTTGTTAATAAAGACAATGTGCCAAGCACTGAGTTAGGCCTTAGGAGATAAAGATGAGTAAGACATAGTTTCTGCACTTGAGGACTCACAGTCTAGGAGGAGACATGTGTGACTAAGTATCTTCCAATATGGCAAGTGTTATAATAGAGCTATAAAATCACCAAGGAAGTCATGGCCCCTTTCCTAGGGGAGTTGGGTAAGACTTCCCAAATTAGTCAAACCTTAAACCCTAGTTAAAACATGACAAAACCTAGGGGCACCTGGGTGCCTCGGTCGGTTAAGTGTCCGACTCTTGGTTTCGGCTCGGGTCATGATGTCACGGTTCACGGGTTCAAGCCCTGCATCGGGCTCTGTGCTGGCAGTGCAAAGCCTGCTTGGAATTCTCTCCCTCTCTTTCTCTGCCCCTCCCTGACTTGTGCTGTCTTTGTCTCTCTCAAAAAACAAACAAACACCCCCAAAAAACAACCCAGTAGGATTGGCCAGGTTAAGAAGGAAACAAGAGAAAGTCTAGACAAAGTGTATAGCACATTATTATAATAATGGGCCTTAACATTGTTCTTTCATTTGCTAACACTTCTGCTTTGACTTCCTCACCATTTGCAAGGCCTTAACTTGCGGTATAGAGAGTGGCACCGGTTAATTTTTACCAGACCCATTTACTTATTTCACATCTGGGGTAGGGGGTGGCGGTGTGTTGGCGCATATTTATTGCCTGAGTGTTCCTGGTTCCTTTCTGTGTGGTCATAGACAACTTTGGAAGTTTTTTCATAAAGGGCGGCATGTGCGAGTTTCAGTTGGCAAGGTCACAGCTCTTTCAAACTTTGCTGATGCCTGGGTTGTCACCGTGAGAAACTTTCTGCCTCTTGGGTAGACTGAAACGTGTATCACATTCGGTGCCGGCGGTTTATTTGGGGTGTTTAGACATATTTGCATTTTTGCTTAGGAAGGCATCTTTCTGAACTGTGACAAGAAACTGTGAATTCCACTAGGAAACAGGTCTTTATAATATTGGCAAGGTTCTCGTGTTCCTGTAAGCTCTATTTAAATATCTTTGGGGTTTGTCTGTGGAACACATATGTTCTTATTAATTGATTACACATTAATAAAAATGATAACAAATTAGCAGTTGTAGATGATTTTTCAATGGAAGTGTTAGCATGGTAAAACAGGCTTCGTTAAACTTCTGTTCCATTGAATCCTATTTACCCAAATAGAAACAGTTAAGACTTGCTCTACTTCAAAAAGGAGGTAATAGTTTACTTACACTGGCTGCGAAAGTAAATTACAGTGATGTTCTGCTTTTCCTTACCTTCCCACCCCTTTCTACACTCATTCTATCCTTAAATAAGCTTTTTTGTGTGTAGTTCCTTTTTCAACTGCAATAATATTAACGGACATCATTATTATAAACATGTATGTCACTCATGATGTGCTAGGTAGGTAACATTCAGAGCATGTTATGGGCACGTAGTTATTTAATACTTAGAGTAACTCTGTGGTAAAACTAGCATAGTCCATTTTACAGATGAGGGAATTAAAACAAGAGAGGTTGGTAACATGCTCAAGGTCATGGAGTTAATAACTGATGGTGCTGGGATATGAATCCAGACAGCCTGGTCCCAGGGATGATGCCCTTAACAACACTGCCTCCTTTGATAGCAGTCATAGTAAATATGCTTTTCTTCACACTGTCATAGGAGAGGTCCAATTCATTTAAACAATCAAACAGAGGGAACCTCGTGCACTCAAAAGTTACATGGTCTTAAACTGGAAGTGAGATCTTTAGTCACAGGAGATGGCAGGAATGAGAATATGAGACTTGTCAGGTATGGGAATGTCCACGGCTATATTTCCAAAACCAATCTCAAATGTGTGATACATAATAGGATTGGACAATCTTAACTGAATAAATGAAAGAGTGAATGAATGACTCGTACTGCACAGGATGTAAGATCTCCCAGTTATGTCATTGGTAAGTAGCTCCTTCAGGCTACTCTTAGAAGTGAGAAAAGAAACCCACTGCCCTAACCACTTCCTGCAGTGCCAACATCCGGCAGCACCAAGAGAATGGAGGTAGGGGGATGGGATATGGGACAATCACATAGAAATAACAGCGGTTACATTTCTTCCCATTGATGAAATAGAAGCATTACATTTTTAAAGTTTATTTATTTTGAAAGAGAGAGAGAGAAAGAGAGAAGGACTGAGAGAGGGAGAGAGAGAGAGAGAGACAGAGAGAGAGAGAGAGAGAGAGAGAGAGAGAGAGAGAATCCCAACCAGGCTTCACACTGGCAGCCAGAGCTGACATAAGGCTCAAACTCATGAACTGTGAGATCATGACCTGAGTCAAAACCAAGAATCGGATGCTTAACTGACTGAGTCATCCAGGTGCCCCAGAATCATTACATTTTTAATGGCCTCTGTGCTTAGATTCTTAGCTTTATTTTATCATACTTTCCTTCCAATAATCTTGTTCTCTTTAAATTTAGGAATACAGTATCCATTCTGAGGAGAATTATCCCAGTTCAACTTGAGAGCTGAAAGAAAAAGAACAAGGGAGCTGATGTCAGGTCTCAGTTCAGAAGTTGAGAGGTGGAACCAGACTCTGCTTCCCCCATGCCTGCACCTGAGCAGCACCCCATCACCAGACAAAAGCACACAACTGACTTTATTTCATTTTACAAGTACAACAATATGTCTCCTTTGGACACTCAACCCTGCTTGACAGTCTTATTATAATTCCCCAGCACAGTCATCTGGTCACTTTCTAAAACAACCATTCACTCCTTCTCTTGTCTGGGTAAGTCTCCTTAAATTTCTGTTCATTCTCGGCTAATCATTTCCCTCATATTTATTTTGAAAACACCAGTCAATCAGACAGGAACTTTCTCATCTCCCTACTGCTAGACCTACCTACCACTTGTATGTCAAATGCCACTTGTATGTCATCTTCCTGTTAGTGTCAGGTCAACTCTTTTACTTCAGATGGGAATCCTATGCTTCCTGCCCTCTCAGGGACTTTGCTTCCGCAATAGTTTTCTTCTGTTCTTTAGAGAAATATTTTCTTCTCTGGGAGAACTTCAATTGGTGTACGAATATGCTCTCGCATTTCCTATCCAAACAAAAACACATGTTTGCCACATCTCCCCTTCATGTGGTAGCCCCATCTCTGACCATTTTCGTAGTTTTCTAGTTAGCTTGTAGCTGGTGTCTCTCATTTGCTCACCATGCATTTCCTCCTCAAAGGCCTCCTTCACAGATCTGAGTCTGACAGTCACATATCTGTCTTATTGTCCTCCCTCCTCTTTTAAAGCGATAGCTAATGGGGATATCAGTTAGCTATTGCTTCATAACACATCACCCTAAAACTTCGTGGCTTAAAATAACAGTCTCATTGCTCTTGAGACTGTAGGTCTTCTAAGTGGTTTATATGGTCTTCACTTTTCTCACTTATGTGTTTATGGGCCGCCGTGAGTAATGTGGCTCTGTTGACCTCTGTTGATCTAGGTTGGATTTTTCCATGTTGAGGATTGGGTGTTTCCAGAGTGGCCTCATCTGGAGATTTAGAAATTGGCAGGTTTTCATACACTGGCCAACTCCATTCTCCTAGTTCTGTTCATCTAGAAAATAATAGTGCTGATCTATTGGTGGCAATTCTTGACTTTGTGCGTGTTTGTGTGTAATACAGAGAAACAAATTAGAAACCATTTTATTCCTCTACATCCTGTAAATTGCATGGCTTTGCTTTTAGAATGGAGTCATTTTTCATTTTGCAGTTTCTGATCGTGCCAACGATCAAAGGAAGGATGAAGGACGATTAAACACATCCTTACTTTATTCCATTTCTGTGTGAAGACCTGTATGAACAGGAAAATTATTTTAGGATAAGTACCTGTGCAAAAAAAAAGTCAACATTTTTTTTGTGACTGAGGAAGCTGTCATAGATAAGTGAGTTGTCTCTGAAATATGTAAAACCTTTTTCATATGTAAATAAAGTAAAACCTGGCAGCTTAGCCATCTGTGGGAGTGTGAGAGCTCTTGAAAAATGACTCATTCAGTTAGGCATAGATGTGAAACCATATTTGAGTGTAAAAACTACACTTTTACAGAGCTACAGAGCTAAGAATGCTGGAGATCACCACACATTCCTGCCAACATAGTATGTTTGCTTCTTCCATCCTTTTTGGTTCTTTGGATAGTCTAGTAATCAAATTAATATAGGACAGATTAACAGAAGGAAAATAAATTTAATTGCACACATACAGGATGCCCATGAGAAGATTAGACCCGAGGACAATTGAAGCTTAAATGCCATCTTACACGAGGGGATGAGATAAGGGCCTGGAGTTTCAAAAAGAAGGAGGGTGATTCACAGGATAATAAAAGGAGCAGATGTTTGGTAATTAGATGTTTGTCCTGCCACACAGATAGGTCATGTAGATGCAAAAGTTATCTCTTGGTAATAGCTCTCTTTCTCAAATTCTTGTAGGTAGTTTAAGGGAGAGGTAAAGATTTTTCTTGAGTCTGCTGGGTCTTGATTGCCTTCAGCTCAAAATAGCCCACATGCCAAAGTGGCACACTTTGGGGAGATGTTCTGAAATAGTTCAGATGTTGAGAATAGATGTGGGGTCATTAAAAACATTAACAAATACTACAGAAGTGAGAACACTACAGGTAATGAGTACTGACTTTTGCAAATGGTCTGATTTAGTATGTAGAATTGAATATTGAAGGGCCTATAGAGATCATTTAGTTGAATGCCATTAAGAATCTGAGACCAGCGAGATTGAGTAAGTTGCCAACAGGACATAGAGAGTGTGGGGCACAGCCAAGATCAGACACACAGGCTAGTGACACCCAATCTTCACCACTGTCTTCCGGCTGTCGTAGCTCCTTTACTGCTGAGAAAAATCCTCTACCGATTTTAGTGTATTTCTATTGCATGTAAGCCTAAAAAAACCATCCCGTGTAGGCTCAGGAATTTATTATCAACTTGTGTGTTCCAGATTACATATTCAAGCTTTTCTTACACAGAAAATTGACATCTCGATAGTTTTCATAATAAGGTATTTAAGATATTTTTCACGAGGTAAGATATGTAAGGCAAATCACAAGGCTATGTCTTTTAGAATTATCTTTTCACATGGCAATTTTTCAAAAGTGCAGTTTTGGTCATTGTTTTATGTAACTCACCTCTGAAGGAGTAATCAAAATCTCCAAATCTGTGTTAAAGTGGAAATCCTCCATGGCTGCCCTCATTTGAGGGAGGCAACTTTACTTGATGTCTTACCTTCGTTCCCCCTCTACCCCCCAAAACTAAAGGACATCATTCCTAGGAAAGGTTGATACCCTTCTGGTCATTAATTGGAGAATCAGTTGTCTTTCTGGCAAACAGAGAAATCTATTTGAAATTTTAAAAAAACTAACCTGTTTGGGTTTCCTTGCCCAACAAGTTGGGAAAAACAAATGATATTAAATTTTTCATCCACTTGCCCAATGTCAATATAAAATTGAATGTTTCTGAGATTTAAGACTATGTGGTAAAATTTTAATTTTGTCTGCTAGAGGGGGACCTACATCTAGTGTAGGTTAATCTAAAACAGTGATCATTTAGAATAATTTTAGTCTATATTTGGAATTGAATAATTTGGTAATGATTAAAATTTACCAGTTAAATTTTGTTTCAACTGGGACTAAATTTTGTCTGCATATATTCTTGGAAAAGCAGAGTACTCAGAGATTCTTAATGATGTAAATACAGAAACTTTTCGGGGAGTAAGTAATGAAGGGTGAGGACATTGGAGTCATTGGCCAGACTGGAAGTCCCATGTCACTGTCATTCAAGCAACTGCGGACAAGTTCCTTAATTGCTATTTCCCATTTTGTAAAACAGGGATGCGTGCTAACACAACACACAATAATGGGATCAAGATAATTCATACGTTGTACTTAAAGTGCCCAGTACCTAAAAAGAATTCAGTGATTCCCGTCTAGGTGGCTGGGCTAATGGCATACTGTTTGCATCAGTTTGGGGCGGGGGCTGCTATAACCAAGTACCAAACACACTGGGTGGCTTATAAATAACAAAAATTTTACTTTTCATAGTTCTAGAGGCTGGAAGTCTGAGATTAGGGTACCAGCATGGTCAGGGGCTGGTGAGAGCCCTCTTCCGGGTTGCAGATTGCCAACTTCTCCTCTCTGAGTGAACTAGCTCTCTGGTGTCTTATAGGGGTGCGAATTCTAATCACGAGGGCTCCACTCTCCTGACTCAATTACTTATTAAATGGCCCACCTCCAAATACGGTGACCCTGGGGATTAGATTTTAACATATAAATTTTGGGAGGGACACAAACATTCAATTCATAATACATACTAACCTGCTACATCACCTGGGGCTTTTTTTGTTTGTTTGTTTTATTGATTGATTGATTGATTGATTGTTTTTAAGCCTAAACACCTATGCTAACAGCTCATTTAATTATCATTCACTTTTCTCTTTTAAAAAATGATAATTGAGGGGCGCCTGGTTGGCTCAGTTGGCTAAGTGTCCACTTCGTCTTAGATCATGATCTCATGGCTCCTGAGTTCGAGCCCCACATCAGGCTCTGTGCTGACAGCTCAGAGCCTGGAGTCTGCTTCAGATTCCGCGTCTCCATCTCTCTCTGCCCCTCCCCCACTAGCGCTCATGCATGCTCTCTCTCTCTCCTTCAAAAATAAATAAACATTAAAAAAATAAAAATAAAAAAATGATAGTTGAAAGAAGAATATCTGGTTAGTTGAAGGTAGGCAGAGAGAATGGTTACATAACCAACTCATGTCTTTTTCTGTATCATCTCTCTCTCTCTCTCTCTAATCTCTATCTATCTATCATCTATCTTCTTTAGGGGGAGAGTGGCAGAGGGAGAGAGAGAGGGAGAGAGAGAGAGAGAGTGTGGAGAAGGCTCCACACTCAGAGTGGAACCCAAGGTGGGGCTTGATCCCACGACCCTGGGATCATGACCTGAGCCGCAATCAAGAGTCAGACACTCAACAGACTGAGCCACCCAGGTGGCTCTATATCTAGCATCTATCTATCTATCTATCTATCTATCATTTATCTATTTTTCTATCATTTCTGTATCTATGACATTCTTACTGTTCTTTGAATTAGTGGTAACATCTTACTGATTTCCTCATTGATTAATGACTGGTTTCCTCACTAATGACTTAAACAAAATCCTTGACATCTGTTCATTTTGTATCTGTCTGAGATAGAAATCTTTCTTTAAAAATGATCTTTTAACAGCTACAACAAAGAAAACATTTTCTAAATTGCTCAGAAGAAGCATTTTTCCCCCCCTAAACCTCATACTCGCTAAAAAGTGGCCAGGTTCACATTTTTCTGCCAAGTGTCAAAAAATATGTTACTCTGCCGGTTTGATTTACTTTATGTTAAATGACAAGTCACGCCTGTTACCAAGAAAGATATAACAACTTTGTTTGTTTGCTTTTAAATTCAGTGCTTATGTGTGAATTATGTCACATTGAAATCTGTAAATGTCTAGTGAATTTAAGATTTACATTTCAAATTTCATGCACATACCATTTATTGAGCAGTAGGGTGCACGTTTAGTGGGTAGCTCTGTAGTTTACGTGGATTCCCGGCTTCACGTCGCAAACCATGTTCAAAAGCTGTTTCAGCACGACTTCCATGTACTTGTTGTAGCTTCCATTCAATTCTTTTATCTTCCCGAGTGTTCGCTCGTCTACTTCCTCTGAGAGATTACTTTGAGACCCCATTACCTGACAAAATACAATGGACAGAATTCACCACACTATCCATAGTAAAGTGTAACTGGTCTACTACTTAAACTTGTTTTGGCCTATTTATTAAAGATTGTTCTAGAGTGTACACATTGCGTATTATTTTTCTAGAACTTTCTCAGAGAATGGATACGATCACCAATACCATAAGTGGGATGGATAAACTTTCCTAAAAAATGAAAGGTGGCCATGGTCAGTTACTTCTACTTCTAGGCTGGTCCCCACACAGTACAAATTGGAGGCACATTCACAATCATCCTCCATACTCAGGAGGTTTTTCCTGTACTGCATTTTTCATATATTTGTAAGAGTTGCCATACAGTTCCTCTATCTTCCACATTGCTTACTTTTCTGAATTAAAAGTCTGGAAAGTAAAGTGGTAAGACATCATTAAATCCCTTGTGCTGGTTTTCAAAGAGCAAATAACTGATTTGCCAATTTTTTAAATATATTATCTAAACTGATTAATTGTTGTTTTCCAGGAAGGTATAGTCACGATATGCCCAGTAAGGTACTTTTACATGCATGTGTATCTCTTTTTGGATAATAGATAATTTTGAAAATTTTAATATAAAGTGGATTTCTTTCATATTAAGATATACTTGTCCATTTACTTACATTATATATTTAGATACAGTTTAATATATCTTTCTGGTTACTCTTTTATCGACAGTGATTCCCAGTATTTCCATTTATCTCCAAGAGATTTGACCAAAATATAATTTCACCAGGGGAGTTACTAATTTAAAGGAATTCTTCAGTAAAATCCTTTGAAAAGTTACCCTTTGTAAAGCAATCAACTCCTAATTCATCTCCTTTGTAAACTCAGCCTTTCTTAAACATGGTATTGTTAAGGCAACACAGCTGTTTTTTGTTTGTTTTTCTCTTCTGTGAATGTTTACACACAAGGAAGGTATGCATTAAGTTCAGTCCAAGAGACTCCACTAATGATTGACTTCTATTTCAGGGTTGTTAGACTATTCTAAATTCTAGAATTCGCATTATCTTTCTGGGTCCTAAACTTGAAATCAAACACAATTGAAAGCTATCAGGTTCAAGTTCTTTTCTGTTTATATACCATGCAATAAGGGCTTCCCAGTTCAAAGAAAATCATTTTAAGGAAATATAGCTTCTAAGACATCAAGTAACTTTTATAAAATAACATTGAGATAAGTGAGCATACAAGGAGCAGACATATGGACTGAATTTCTCTTGCTAGGTAGAAGTTTAAAAATGGAAGAGAACTATTTACCAAAATAATTCTACCAAAATCATTTTTTTCCTCTAAAGCTACTATATTAAGTGAGATTCTACCCCACTAAAAAAAGTCCTAAATCCAATGTTTTAAGTGTTGAAATATTTAAAAGACAAACTATTATAAAATTATTATCATTTTTTTCTTTGGAGCAGTGTTAAAATAGCTATTATTAGGTTAGATTTCTGCACTATACTGTAGGACTTTGGAAAAGTTTATTTCAACCTTAGGTTCTTTTTTTTTTAATTTAATTTAATTTAATTTAATTTAATTTAATTCAATTCAATTTTATTTTATTTTATTATTTTATTTTTTAGTTTTTTTTTAATGTTTATTTATTTCTGAGACAGAGAGAGACAGAGCATGAGTGCAGAAGGGGCAGAGAGAGAGGGAGACACAGAATCCGAAGCAGGCTCCAGGCTCCTAGCTGTCAGCGCTGAGCCCGACGCGGGGCTCAAACCCACAAACGGTGATATTATGACCTGAGCCAAAGTTGGTCGCTCAACCAACTGAGCCACCCAGGCGCCCCTCAACCTTAGGTTCTTTATTTCAAAGCTGTCCAGTAGAAATGTAATATGACCCACAAAGCAAATCATACAAATGATTTTAAATTTTCTAGAGTCACATTCAAAAGGTAAAAAGACTGGGTAAAATTAATTTTCGTAATATATATATTTTTGAGAGAACGTGTGCACACGTGTGCATACCCCTCCTCCACCTCCCCCACACACATACACACATCTGTGTGAGTGGGAGAAGAGCAAAGGGAAAGAGAGAATCTTAAGCAGGCTCCACACTCCATGACCTTGGGATCGTGACCTGAGACAAAATCAAGAGTCGGATGCTCGACCAACTGAGCCACCCAGATACCCCTAATAATATTTTTTATTTAAGCTTATATTCTTTTTTTTTTTTAATTTTTTTTCAACGTTTATTTATTTTTGTGACAGAGAGAGACAGAGCATGAACGGGGGAGGGGCAGAGAGAGAGGGAGACACAGAATCGGAAACAGGCTCCAGGCTCTGAGCCATCAGCCCAGAGCCCGACGCGGGGCTCGAACTCCCGGACCGCGAGATCGTGACCTGGCTGAAGTCGGACGCTCAACCGACTGCGCCACCCAGGCGCCCCTAAGCTTATATTCTTAATATTATTATTTTAATGTACAAGCAACACAAAAATTATTCCATTGTTTTTCATATGAAGTTTTTGTAATCTGGTATGTCTTATACTTACAGAATATCTTAATGTGGACTAACTACATTTCAAGTTTCATTAGCTATATGTGAAGTGGCCACCTTTTTTTTTTTTTTTTTTTTAATAGAATTGACTGTCAAGTTAGTTCACATACAGTGTATGCAGTGTGCTCTTGGCTTTGGGAGTAGATTCCCATGATTCATCGCTTACCTCTAACACCCAATGCTCATCCCAACAAGTGCCCTCCTCGTGTTCATCACCCTTTTCCCCTCTCCCCTGCCTCACCCCCATCAACCCTTAGGTTTGCTCTCTGTATTTAAGAGTTTCGTATGGTTTGCCTCCCTCTCTGAAACTATTTTTTCCCCTTCCCTTCCCCCATGGTCTTCTGTTAAGTTTTTCAAATTCCACATATGAGTGAAAACATATCTCTCTCTGACTGACTTACTTCACTTAGCATGATACCCTCCAGTTCCATCCACATTGCTGCAAATGGCAAGATTTCATTCTTTCTCATTGCCAAGTAGTATTCCACTGTATATATAAACCACATCTTCTTTATCCATTCATCAGTTGATGGATATTTGGGCTCTTTCAGTAATTTGGCTATTGTTGATAGTGCTGCTATAAACATTGGGGTACATGTGTCCTTATGAATCAGTACTCCTGTATCCTTTGGATAAATTCCTAGTAGTGCTATTGCTGGATCACACGGTAACTATTTTTAATTTTTTGAGGGACCTCCACACTGTTTTCCAGAGTGGCTACACCAGTTTGCATTCCCACCAACAGTGCAAGAGGGCTCCCCTTTCTCCATATCCTTGCCAACTTAAGTTGTTAATTTTAGCCCTCTGACCAGTGTCAGGTGGTATCTCAATGTGGTTTTGATTTGTATTTCCCTGATGATGAGTGATGTTGAGCATCTTTTCATGTGTCTGTTTGGTGGCCACCCTTTTTGACAGTGCAGGTTTAATCCACAGATGACAGCTACTACTATTAGTTGTGTTCTTAATGTGGTTTTCTACGACAACATGATAATTTTCTGAAAGGATTATAGTAGAGATGGTACATAGCAAGGAGCCTAGCACTGAGCAACCAATCAGGAAATGTTAGTGATTTTTCACTGATTGTGTTGCTTGTACTTTCTAGTTTTTTAAAGCCATTATACACTTTCAGAAACATTGGAATACCCTTTAAAAAAAGGCTCATAATCTCATGTCTCATCCTGCATAATTAAATATAATATTTTTTCTGAGTTTATTTGATGCACAGTAATTTGAGTTTCTACATTGTTCCCTAGACATTACTATACCAATAACTAACCATACACTATTTTTTTAATTTTTTACCTTATTTTAAATTCTTATATAGTTAACATACAATCTTATGTTAATTTCAGGTGTACAATATAGTGATTCAACAATTCTATATATTACTCAGGGCTCATTAGGTGTCCTCTTAAACCCCTTCACCTATTTCACCCATCTCCCCACACACCTTCCCTCTGGCACCATATACTATTTTAGACGGCCTTCCATGGAAAGAATTCCATACCTTTATATCTGCAGACAGTGTTGATTTAAACCATGCAGGTGAGTAAAGAAATGAACATAAGCTCCACAAAGGATCAGTGGCATCTTGTCCACTGATGTATTACAAGTGCTTCAAACACCTCAAAGTGGATGCCCAATACCTATTTGTTGAACTGAATAGAACGATCAGATCTCTAGATATTACAGAGAACTTATTACCTGTGTTCTATTGCTCTCGTTGGCAGAAGCCTTCTATCTGAATGCTTAGGACACTACAGAAATTAGAAGTTGATCATTGTGTGACATGGGGTGGGTACATTTGATCAAAGGGCACCCTTTAAGGACTTCTCACTGTTGATTTTCAAAACTTCAGTGTTGAGAATGATACATATAGGTTTACAGCTAAATGACTGATGGTGGTGAAATCTTTCAACATTCAGTACGTTTCTTTATAAATAGTTCAAATGTTCCTGTCTAAGGGAAAGCAGAAGTTCGGGTCCCACTATCATGAGCAAAACACCATTTGGCATGCTCAATATATGGTTGCTTCAAGGAAACAAAATGTTTTCATGATATGAATTCAGGAAGAAAGATGAAGATAGAAAAATCATCATTATGCTCCAGGCGACTATTTTCATTTCTCCTGTTGGGATTCATGATCCCTCTAACTTCTGCATTAATAATAGATTTAATGTTTCCACTGTGGTCCGATTCCTTTTAGCAATGTCATATCTTCTTTAGTAGAAGATGTTATATTTGGTAGCAATGATAAGGAAGGAGAAATAAATCTTCAATAAAACAATATTTGTTGTTATACAACCGACATTGGGATACCTGCTTTTGTTGATATGTCAGGGGAATGGAAACAGCACATACATTAACAAGAGCTAAGACACAATTAAAAAAAGTAACATCGAGGTGTCTCACCCACAGCAGGCAGAAAACTGGCTTCTTGGGTCTCCTCCCAGACCTCCTACTTGCCCTGGGTTAATGATGATGAGATTTAACTGGAATAGCAATATGTCTGACATATGGAGGTCATGCCAAGGAAGGAATATCTGTGCTAATGGTTTTACAATATGCTTGAAGTTAGTGGAGGCCTAAACATGTTGACCTTTCGATGTGAGCTTTTGATCAACTAGCTGTAAAATTGGCTTAGAGCTCCAATTATGAGAGCAATGAGGAGTTTTAATTATTTTCCAAAGCAGAGAACAAATATCCTGAGCCAGATTTACATCTTATGAGATTCTTCTGAAGAAATAACATTTCAAGAGATTTAACCCAGTTACTTTCTAAAATTACAGTCAGTTTTGTTATGACTTAGAAATATAAGTACATCAGAAATATCCTGCATAAAATAATAAATGCTGACTGGTGTTAGGGATAACTATTTTCTCAGGTCCCAATATGTTATGGGTCATGACAGGACTCAATAAGGAAGATAAAGTCACAGAAGAAATGGTAGTTACTTATTCTCTCAATGAATATTTATTGTACTTACTATGGAACAGACACTATTTCATTGTTGGGGAAAATAACAGAGAACAACACATAGACCTTATTGTTTTGGTGTTTATAGTGCAGAAGAAAAGACAGGCAATAAGTAAAAAATGTAAATATATGATGTATCTAGTAGTGTTACATGATATGAATATAATGGAAAACTACTTTCTTTTCTAATGAAAGACACAGTTTTAAATAAGGTGATCTGAAAGATGAGCTAACAAATGAACAGAGATCGAAGGAGGATGAATATGTCTAGAAGATAATGATTCCAGGGAGCAAATACAGTATGTGCAAAGGCACAGTTGGAAGTTGTGTGTTCAATCTGTTTGGGGAAGAACAGGAAGACCGATATGGCTGGAAGAGACCAAGTGGAGACAAAAGTAGTAGAAAACGTTACAAATGACCAAAGCAGATCTTGTTGCACATTGCTGAAAAGTGGTCTGGTGTTTCCTTGTGATTTCCTTCTCATTTGGCTGGTTTCTTTCAATAAATCTTTCATAAGAATATAAAGAAATGCTTTTTCCTACACGAGCATTTAAAAAGTATCTGCAGTTCACAGTAAAAAGTGGGTGCATGACATTTTCAGAACTGACAGAGAGATAGCCAAGGGCCAATCACGGAGGGCTGTATACACATGTATAGATCTAGGATTTTATGATTCTATTTTTGAAAGACTGATGAGGAGAATTTATTTTTGCTGAGTGGTCCACTTCATTCTGGGAAGGACTTTTTCTTTTAAGAAGGAGCCCCCTGGAAAAGTTTTTCCTATCATGGGATTCGATTTCCCTGACCCTCTACCAGCCCCACATCTACTCCCACTAAAATAAAAGTTGTAAGTAAGGGGATTTCCAAAGTGCTTGAAGTTCATCTTTCAATGTCAGCCTTTACTTATGTTTCTATTGGGGGGAAAAACCTTTATATCATATAAACTTTAGTTGTAACACACAGAATTTAAAAAAAAAATTATAGTCATATCGCAGTAAGAAAAGGAGGATGTTGGTTCTGAAATTTTCATGCACTTTTTTTTCACTGTAAACTATAGATATATTTAAAATGCTAGCGGAGGAAAAACCTTTTAAAAATATTTTCATGAAACATTTGTTGAATGAAGCCAGACAATTGAAAAGGAAATAATAAAAAAAAATACCAGAAGACTTTGTAGCAATTTGCTGAATCTGCCATATCTACTTTGGTCATTTTTTTTTTTTTAACGTTTATTTATTTTTGAGACAGAGAGAGACAAAGCATGAACGGGGGAGGGGCAGAGAGAGAGGGAGACACAGAATCGGAAGCAGGCTCCAGGCTCTGAGCCATCAGCCCAGAGCCCGACGCGGGGTTCGAACTCACGGACTGCGAGATCTTGACTTGAGCTGAAGTCTGGACGCTCAACCGACTGAGCCACCCAGGCGCCCCTCTACTTTGGTCATTTGTAAATCTTGAATATACCAAAGAAAGTTGACCAAGAAACTCATTCTATAACAGTGTGAAACACTTTTTATTGATTGTAGTGGTAAATATTAGTAGACAAAAAAAATATGTTTTCTGAAGTGTTTTTCTTAATAAAATGTGTTCGTCATCTGTGGTGGGAATAATACGTTAACCAGTCCCTTCAGTTTGAATATTTGAAAATATGATTTTTAATATGGACTGCATATTAGACTACACTATTGATTGATACTTTAGACAGCAAATCGAAAAGTCTGGAAAGTGAACATGTAAAATCAGTAATTCTGTAACGTATAAGATTTAGTCTGATGTTCAGGCTTAGTTGAACTGGGTCTGCTCAATCCGTTGTATTTTTCCCCCTTGATATTCTGCATTACACTTCTTGAATATTAATGTATTATAATCTATACCACATAGAAAAGCTGTGCTTTCTTACTTACCTTAGATTGTTTCAGTCGAAACTCCTTATCTCTCTGCATTCTGTACTGGTTAATTTCTGCCATGGCTTCCTCCTTAGCTTGCTTCAATCGCTTCTCTTTCCCTGAATATTAACAGTGGCAAAGGAGGAATGAATTTTTTAATCGACATGGAATTTCAAACTTCAATTCTAAAAAAATAAAATAGGCGAGGTCTACATTGTTTTCCTGATAAATTTCTCTAAAATGGTGAAGTTCATTAAAGAACAATATTGAAAAACACCTTACTTTTTCAATTGGGTTTTTTAGAGCATGGAAATGACAACTTTCTTTCACACTTATATGTTTAAATAAAATATCTGCCCATTTACTCACAGCAGTAACAGCCAGAGAACAGATTTTAGCTGTCACTTACTCGGAAAGACATTATTTGGTCAGATTTTCTGTCCTGATTTGCTGCCAGGAATACTTCAGTCCACACCAACTGGATCCGATTTAACACTGGCAGATCTCCAAAAACACTACAAACATGCAACTCAGACTCTATCAAACTGACTTACAATTTTTTAAAGCATTTTATTGGGATTTTTTTTCTTAGCATTTGTTGACTCTAGAATGTCTGATTAAGCCCCACAGCACATCAAAGTAGGTATTTTTTTGTAGTAGCTTTCTCTGAGGGGGACTTGAAAGTGGCTGTAAAACCAATTGTTTTTAATGGTTAGGAGACTTAGTTAAATAGCTCTCTTTTCTTTTATTAAGAGCAAAGGTGTAAGCCTTAAGCCAGCAGACAGCAATGTAGATGAAAGTTTCAGACAAATACAATGCTGCGGGGATCATTAGCTAGACACATGACTTTTTTTTTGACAACCAGAGTAAATTTGGGGTGGGGGGTTATAGACTAATATTAATTGCTGCTATGCCCCCCAGCACCTTCAGGGGGTTAGGTACTAATGCTTTGTGGTCATTAAAACTTTAAAGAAACTCCAAACTGTATTAAATTTTTTTTTTATCTGAACCCATTGTCCTTCAATTTCAGTTAAATACCTTCATTCTTTTGCTTATTTAACAGTTTCTCTGATAGTGTCTCAAGCTTTTGCTCAGAATTTTTGTCACCTGTTTGTTATATTGTGCAGACCTTGAACTAAGTAAGCGTGTTCTCATTAAGCAGCGTGAAAGAAAATCTTAACATAAACTTCTGTCATCCACATACATACATGTTTTTATATGCCTTCACTTTTACATACCTCTGTAGCATTTGAGTGTAAATGGTTCCTGAAGCTCTCTCCCTGCTAAGCATGTAGTGTTTTGCCAGTTACTGTACATATATGCGGAATAAAGATAGATTTCCCGAGTTACAAACTGACGTGTCTCTTTTAATGCCTGTTGTCCTTGAATGGGACTGAGTAAGCCTCATGCAGAGCAGACATTTAGCTACGTCTTTACTCTCTATAAAATCCAAGGTTTGGTGAAAATTAGTGCTCTTCTGATGCTTGAGGCTTAACGGAACATTAACAACACTGCTTACTTTTTTTCTACTTAGTTAATGCTCATTATCATTTTGTATTTACAGATTCCTTAATTCTCCACATTTCTAACCATTTTGTGGCAGCTAAACACTATTCACGGAACAAATGCACAATATGTTGATAGGGGAAACTATCCCCTGATCCTCAGCCTTCTCTCTTATCACGGCTGTCATTAACATTAGGACAAACATATATTTAACGTGTATTAACGTTTTCTTGGTAATAATGGGTTGTGGGATTCATAATCACTTATAAAACAAATGACCTGAGACGTCACTACTCTTCCATGTTAATTACATAATATATAAAAATATTGGGTTCAAAGTCACAACTCTAGTACATTAAATAATAATAATAATAATAATAATAGGAAAAGCTCTGTGTGCCCTACCCTGGAGCAGAATCCAGTGCTCTACTTAAAAGGCTGTATATTAGCTCCATCATACAGTGACAGGCTCAGAGTGTGTCTGTGATTCCCCCGTCATGGCACCAGTCACCTGCTGGTTCTCATTCAATTAAATAGGAGAGCCACAGGGAAATTGCTGCTGGCACAGCCATTTTCTGGACAGACTCAGCAGCTGCCGCTGTGTGAGAGCCTGCATATGCTACACCTGATTTAATCCAGTGGAAGAAACTGGAGCCTAAAGCTTGCTGTTTGACTAGAGGTGAAGCAAAATGCATGCATGAAATCAACTTCCATTAACCTCTAGCTTTCTTCTCTGTCTGTGTAGGAAGATTTCCAAATTTTAATATTATGCCTTATCTTCTTAAGCATTAAAAGTATTCTGGGACCTAAGCATTTAGGTTTATATTCTTATTTCTCAATACTGTCTGTATCAAACATAAGGACGATCATATGGAACAGTCCAGATTTTAAATATGACAATCAAATATTTGGTCCCAAACTTCCTACAAGGTCATACAGGCTTATCAGGCCCAAGGCTTGTTTGCTTTAGAAGACGTGGTTATCTTATACTACTAAAGCAGGTGCTCCAGAGTTGTGCAGGAAAGGATGGTTTTGATTTGTCCATCCATTATTCATTCATTGTTTATTGAACACCTACTATACATTCTGCATAGGGCTACAAATAGAAGATAGAGAAATGCACATGGTATGGTCCTTGCACGAATACAGTGTAATTTGGAAATGTGTACATGGTGCTCTGGCTTCCAAGAAGAAAATGCAAAATACATAAAATTGTGAAGAATACATGTAATCAAGTAGGAAAACAATGGAACATATGTTTTGGTTCTGTTTGTTCCATGGCAATTGAAAATCACACATTTATGGAAATCTTCATTACTTAAATTCTAGACAATCAGTGCTTGCCATCCATCCCAATAGTCGTGTTATGTCTTATGTTATTAGGGTAAACAGGGGCGCCTGGGTGGCTCAGTCGGTTAAGCGTCAGACTTTGGCTCAGGTCACGATCTCTCGGTTCACGAGTTCGAGTCCCATGTCAGGCTCTGTGCTGACAGTTTGGAGCCTGTAGCCTGCTGTGTGTTCTGTGTCTCCCTCTTTCTCCGCCCCCCCCCCACTCTGTCTCTCTTGCTTTCAAAAACAAATAAAACATTAAAGAAGTTTTTAAAAATTATGTTATTAGGGTAAGTCAAAATATAAACAACTGGACCCAGATATGTAGAATGGGGGTCAGAGGAGGCTGCCAAGCGGGGTCAGGGGAGACTTCTCAGGAGGGGATGATTGAGCTGACTTTTTAGGCAGGACGGCAATGGGGATGAATATTTCATTTTGGAGATTAGAACAAAGCACAGAGACCCTTCCTAAGCTAGTTTTGGACACTCTTTGTAAATGGCTACACCTTAATAAAGGTATTCATTTTTTAGACATGTGGCTTGTCATGCAAATATGCCCTACATTCAACATGCCCTGATTGAGATATTTTACGGGAAATTTTGTGGAAGGGAAAGAGAGGGGGAAAGATGTTTGAATTGATTTCCAGGTGATTTGTAGGAAAAGAATTAAAAACTCAATTTGGGCAGGTAAAACTCAATTTGGGAGGAGGGAGTGCAATGTGAAGGATGGGATCTCCTTGGTTTTGTGGTTAGGAGAGGCCTTTTAAATTGAGTGTCCCAAATGCGAATGAACCCTTGAGACACAGAGACCCTGTTCTGTTGACTGGATTGTTATATGGGTTTTGGAATTTGTTTAGGGATGAGGACGATGGGATGTTTATTATTATTTCAGAAGAGAATCAAAATTATACACTAGGCACAACGGCAGTAAGATATTAGAAGCTTTGTAACCTTAAGCAAATTAGTGTGTCTGCGCCTGAGTGTTCTCATCTATAAAACAGATTTAATAATTTACCGCAGTAAGTCATTAGATGTTTTAGGAAAAAAAAAATGTAATTAAAATGCTCGACAAAGAACAGCTATTTGATTATTTTTAATCATGATTAGGAAAATGAGCCCAGTTTCTGGGGAACTTTGATTAAGAACGAAGATAATTAATACAATGTGAGTTTGAGGAAAAGTCCTGAGGCTGTCACTAGAAAAGCCTCTGTGGGCTTCCCTGAGGATATCCAAATGGAGATAGTTAAGGCATCTGGACAGACAAGTTTGGATCCAGAAGCAAGTTCTGAAATGGCTGTCAGTCGTCTGGGTTTGTACATGTGCTAGTCATAGGGATAGGATTTGGACTGCAACCAAGGGTGAGTGTACAGAATGAGGAGAAAAGAGAGCTAAGGTCTCAAACTGGGGGGCTGCCAACATTCAAGAGATAAGAAAAGGAGGAGGACTCTCAGGAAAAGCCTGAGAGTTAGTGGTCAGAGGAGTAGGGGAAATCAAAGAAACATTCAAGAAGGATGTGGCCAACAGTGTCAAATGCTACAGAGAATGGAAAAAAGAGACATTTAAGCAACGAATATTACTGAATATCCTCTTTGTGCCACACGCTGTTTCTAGATCTATAAATACAGCAGTGAAAACCATAAACAGACCAACTTTCTATTCTCATGGAGCTTGTAATTTGAACGTATTAGGTGGAGATAGAAAGCAGAGAGTTTAGGGGCACCTGGGTGGCTCAGTTGTTTGGGCATCCGACTTCGGCTCAGGTCATGATCTCATGGCTCGTGAGTTGGAGCCCCGTGTTGAGTTCTGTGCTGACAGCTCATAACCTGGAGCCTGCTTCGGGTTCTGTGTCTCCCTGTCTCTCTGCCCGTCCCCCACTCATGCTCTGTCTCTCTCTCTCTCAAAAATAAATAAACATTAAAAAAAAAAAAAGAAAACAGAGTTTATGATATGATAGTGATAATAAGTGCTATGAAGAAGAAAGAAGGAGCCTAAGGGATAGAGAGATGGTGTTAACTTAGGTAAGCCTTGTCTTTTGGGTGAAGTGATATATGAACAGAGACCTAAAAGAATAAGACAATTAGCCATGCAGCTATCTGAAGGGAAAGAGCATTCCAAGTAGAGGCAACAGCAGATGCAAAAACCTTGGGTATGTGACATGCTCGAGAAGCAGCAAAACACTATCATGGCTGGAAGAAAGAGAACAAGATGACTGAATGTTAGGAGACGATACTAGAGAGGTAGCAGTGACGGCAGGTCACACAGAACTCATGGGGCACGACAAGGCT